AAGAATCAAAACCAGTAGAATCAAAGGAAGGATCAAAACCAGTTGAAAATGAGAAGAAGGAAGGTGATAAATAATTATCCAGAAAGATATTGATAGATTTTTCGGTTGTTATACTGAAATCATCTATTATCTGGAATTTTTTTCTTTTTAACTGTGATCATTTGTCACGTTTAGTTTGTTCTACTGTAGTTTTTCATTATTTGCCGTGTATTTTATTGTAATCATTTATTATTTTCAGATTGCTGTTGGTTGAAATAAACAAGATACTAAAAAAGTTTTTGTATATAATGTAATTCTTTTTATTTATGGCAATGGAAGAGCTGAAAGTTGGATCTGTGAAATTAATAAATTAATAAAAATTTGTGCACATTAAATAAAAAAATGGCATAAATTTGAAAATATTTTTATAGAAACGCTCAGAATCAGAATTGTAAACATGATATAAACAAAAGGCACTCAAAATTATGGAAATTAATTCTACATTAAAATTTACGAAAATAAAAATGTACAAGATCAGTTAACTATTGGTCTTATAAATCGAATACCACACTGACGAAGTCAATAGGATAGTAATACTTTTTTAATAGAATTGTTTCTGAAATAAACAACTGCCTGTATAGAGTTTAAAAAATCATATATTTTATGTAATGACTGGAATGCATATTATGATAGTTTTTGAGCATTGTTTTTTATATTATCGAATATAAAGTATTAGAAGAGAAGAACCTAAGAGAAAAGTTAGATATGAAATCTATTGTACTAAACTAGTGATTAGCGTAAGTTTCAATAAGGTATTTATCATAATATATTGCGCATCAAATATTATATGATGCATAAAAAATTGTGTCTTTATATTTTATTATCTACAAAGGTTGTACGTTCTTCATTTGTTTTTTTTTTGATAGTGGAATTTTCTCAAGAAATTGGGTTTTGATAAAAACAGTGATGTTTCTATAGAAAATCAGCGTCTTTTTTCATAGAAAAAAAAATAATTTTAAGCAGAAAAAAATAATTAAAAAGTATACTTCTCTGCTTCTATAGGTAGTTCGAGTAATTATCAATGTTTTGAATAGTATGCAAAACAGAAAAAAATTAATTTAACTAGAATAATATGTGGTTAATTTATATTAACGAAATTTATTGTTTTACACTAACAAGAATTTTGTGCTTTCTCATCATAGAAAGCATTCACTTAAATAATATATGAAAACTCAAGGAATTCAAATAAAGACCAATATATCATTAAGCCTTGAAAATTGAGTATATGTTTTTTCTAGTAATTAGTATGAAAATATCAAATAGATCTAGGAGAAGATCAGTTTTAAATTATGATTTATCTTTACAAAAATCTATCAGGTATTTTCAAAAATATGATCATTTTTAAAATTTTATTTTTCAAACAATCATCTAAGAAACGAAAAATAAAAATTTAATACTAGTTCTACTAATAGGTATCACTTATTCTAGTGCTTTGAATCAGAGATTCCATTAATGTATAATTCATATTCGAATAAATGCAAAATGTCTCTGTCAAAAATTATATTTATGATTATATCGAGACTTCGATATACGCTATTCATTTCTTTTTTTCTTCTACATTCAATGGACAGTTATTTTGCGTACATGATTATACATATAATATTCTATCCGGCAGAATTGAATCGAAGAAAACAACGAAATATAGCTAGGCAGAGAGAGAGAGAGAGAGAGAGAGAGAGAGAGAGAGAAGCAGCAGATACAAGAGAGAACACAATGTAACAAAGATAGATAATGCGTTAGAATCTGCTAGAATGTTCGAGAGTTCGATTCGTTCCTTGATGTGACGCATATAAATAGCCGCATCTCTTCTTAATATATTCACTGCATCGTTTAACTTTATCTATACATTTAACAATGTCATTGTTTCCAATTCGTCGTTATCGTGCTTTCGATGATCCATTTGATCGTTTCTTTGGTGATCAACTCGATTTCTTCGATCCATGGCGTGATTTTGAAACATTTCCAACAGCTCTTTCTGTTCAACCAAATGCTTTTCGATGGATTAATGAACCTTCACGGTTAACACATCATCATCATCATCATCATGGTACTCAGCCAAAATCATCAACACCACATGCAGAAAAATTTCGTGTACAAGTTAATGTTGCTGGATTTAATCCAGAAGCAATTAAAACTAAAGTTGAAGGTCGAAAAGTTGTTGTTGAAGCTAAACAAGAAGATCGACAAGCAGATGGTGATTATAATGT